CAGGCGCTCTCAGCAACAGCTTCTGCATTACCAGCGTGCAGCCGGAATAACGCAAGTCTTCGGTCCCCTTTGCAGAAACTCGGAGCAGCTGGAGAAATCCAGCAACATGGATTTAAATTGCCTCTCATTTTTGCCCTTCAAGAAGCATTAAATTCCTCCACAGGAAAAGAAATCCCAGCTTTAACAGAGGCAACAGTTCTTTCTGCAGCTGCCAGCTGTGCCTGCGGACAGGCAGGAGACAGCCAGGAGCACCCCTCGTCCCAAACCGCACAAAACTACGCGTGGGACCTCCCTGTCCGCCGTTAGCTCTCCAGACCCACTCCCTGCACAACTTGCTGATGAACATTTAGCCGGGGGGAACACGCCTGGTGCGGGGTAAGGCTTGCACGATGCCCGCCCATGTGCCTGGTTAGCTTTGCCGCACACCTGGTTAGTGCTGCTGCTGAGAGAGAGCAAAATGCTCCTCTTGCGGCTGCGCGCGGCTCCGCACGATGCGTTTTCCTGGCTGCAAGGGAGAGGAGCCGCAGCGGCCGCCCAGCAGATGGCAACCGCCCTGCGCAAGGTGAGCGGCACCGTACGGCACCGCACAGCACAGTATGGCACCGCACGGCCCACTCACCCGCACCTCTCACCCGCAGAAGTTCTACCTGCCCTGCTTTGCATATCTCAAAAAACAGCCTTTCCACCACCTTGCTGGCCCAGGTTCCCACAGCTAAAGTAGGCATTTGTGCTATTTATCATGCTCCTGGTCAGCCTTCATGGAGCGCTTGCCTCCCCTCCAGCCCACTGAAGGTTTCTCGTCTCTGTGCCCAATTCCAGCGTAAGGCAGACAACTGAATTTTTGTGGCTTGCTCTCATGTTGGGAGAGTCAGCCTTCCCGCTCTGCGTTGCTCAAGTGGGCTCATCCGCCCCCAGGAGTTAGAGCAGAGAGGACAGGGAGCCCTTGGCCTAGGGCAAGGCACAGCGGGCATCAAGAAAGCTAAATCCAAATTCACCTTTCCACCCTGCAGGGCACGGCTGACGAGTCCTCATACCTCAGAACTGAGTCACGAGCCTCACGGCAGCTTATAAGGGAGGCAAGGGTAACTCCCACCTTCAGCTCGTCCACAGCAAACCTGCACTAGCCCAGCCTCAGGGACAACAGGCGGGAACTCAGGTGTCTGGACGGACAGACTCCAAGCTCCCCTTACACAGGTTTTACAAAGCAGGGTAGCCAAAACCACTGTCGTTAGTTTTTGGTCCCCTGCAAGCACGGCTGGATGCGCAAGAAGCCATGTGGCTGGGGGAACCCAAGCCTCCTGCCTTTCCAGTGCCCTGCAAGCCGCTGTGTCCCAGCGGAGCCATGCGGCCAGCAATCCCCTTTGAAAGCAGTTTAACCTGTCTGCTGGCCGGACCTGGCAAGGTGCACCGAGGGCCAGAAGCTCCATGCTCCACCGGAAGCCACACCGGTGGCTGAACGGTAGAAGTCTCTGACATTACAAAGGTCCCTGCGTGAAGCGTCAAAGTTCAGAGCTCGCCCCCCTTGAGAGGTTTTTGACGCCCTTACTGGAAGATGCAAGTGTTGGTTCTGCTCTCTGTAGAGCAAACACTCACTGAAAGACACCAGTACTGGGTACGCAGGGTTTTCCACAGATGTTTGGCTCACTCTGATGACAGCCACCAGAAGAGAGGATGAGTCACCAAGAAGAGCAACCTTATTAACAAAGAGAAGACATTTTCATTTAGACTGCTTAAAGCACTTGTTTACACTTGTTTGAACAAGCATTTAGGAGAAAAGCTCTCTGTCAAGGCCCCAACACTTGTAAGAGCCAAGCACTCAAGCCACTGCGATTCTGCGCTGTTCCCGGGAGACCACAGCCGCCGCTCCAAATCCAGCAACCGCAACTACTCTCGGTACCACGGCACAGCAAACGCAGCACCTCTCCTTCTGCTCACGCTGCAAACGTCCCGATGCGACACGAGAGGAGAAGAGCTAGCTGTGCTCCCTCGCCCCATGGCCCTGCCAAAGAGGGGCTTGCCCGGGGTCTGAAGTCCAGCAGTCGCGTTTTGGGGGGCTGAGGAAGAAGCTGTCGTGTTAAAGAAGCTGTTTAGCTGCCCGGTGGTCCCACGTAGCGGCAAGTTCTAGAGCTGCGTGCTTGCTGCGCACCGCCTGCCCAGGTCTGAAACGGGGACGTTTGAGGATCCAAACTGCTTTTCGGTGGTGTGGGAGGTCTGCTTGGAGGAAAGGCAACACCTTCACTTTCAGAAAGGTGCTTTTTTCTCCCCTCCTTTCTTCCAGGTGAATCCAAGCAAAGTGGAATATATATTGGGAAAGGCCTTTATTCTGTTTTGTCTCTTAACGATTTCCAAAGCCAGCTGCCTGCAGCACCTACTGGAGAAGGACCTGCCGGGCCCCCCCCAGCAGCAGGCTGCTCTGCCAGGCAGCGCAGGATGGTGCCCTGGTGAAAAGCACTCGTTTCCCGCTCCCAGCAGGTCTCTTGGTACTCTGGCTTCTCTCACCCCCCCAGCACAGCTCAAGCTTTCCAAGGTACAGCACTATGGGACATGTGGAATAAAACGCACGTTGGGAGCTCACTGCTCAGCTGAACAAGAACAAAAAAACCACACACCCCAAGACACCAATTTATTTTTACACTCGCAGTGCTGAGCAGTATTTCTCAATCATGTTCTCGTTTGCTGAACCTCTACGAAATCCTTGCACGCTGGAAATTATTTCAAATCATGTATCCAAGACAACAAGGGTAATTCTTCCCCCTAGACACCATCAGAGCTCTGATCTTTAGACAATTACCCTATTCAGTATAAGAATCCATTTACATCTTTCTGAAAAAGAGATTTTGGGATTCATCACCTTTTTCCTTTGGGTCACCTTGTCGTTTCAAGGAAACGATGGCCCAGCAGCATAAGTATTTCATCCCAGCGGGGCACACACCCGGCTTGTTGGTATTCCTGCCCAGAATAGCTTGCAGCACTGACAGAGCTCATCTATGTTAAATTAGCCCTTAGAAAACATCCCTGCTCTGAATCTCAGAAGACCGTCCCTTGACGCAGGTCTGAGGAGCAAAAAGCAAAAGTCCTTGCCTGCACGAGCACTGCGATGCAGACTGTCAGAGCCTCTGAACTGCTCTGTCCAGCGGTTAAACAGCACATTTGTGACCTTGTCCCAGACAGAGAAAGAATATGAAAACCCATCTTCCTTCCTGCCTTCCTGTCTCCCTCCCACCCAGCTATTACTGGCTTTTGTAACTATCTTTCAAAAAGGAAAAATAATCTAAGCATCAAGGCTGTCTCTCCAGCATCCCCCCTCACCAGCAAGCTGAGGTGGGCAAGATCTTGGGAGGGGACATAGCCAGGGCAGCTGACCCAAACTGACCAAGGTGTTACTCCATACCATACGACATCTGCTCAGCAATGAAAGCGAAAAGAAAGGAGGGGGGGACGACACATTTGTTATTACGTTTGTCTTCTGGAGCAACCACTGCGCACGCTGCAGCCCTGCTTCCTGGGAAGTGGCTGGATGTCGCCTGCTGATGGAAAGTAGAGAATAAATCTTCTCTTTTCCTTTGCTTCTGCGCACGGCCTTTGCTTTATGAAACTGCCTTCATCTTGACTCACTCCATTCTGCTAAGGAGGGCACTGATGGAGCGGCTTGGTGGGTACCTGGCGTCCAGTCAAGGTCACGCTCTAAAGGCTGTGTTCATCTGAGCTGTCCTAAGGCAATAAGGGACTTGCTCAGGGTGACAGTGCAAGTCCGTTGACTTCATTGAGAACGGGAGCCAGCAAACCAGCTGAAGAGAAAACCCACGCCTGGCTGGGAAAGGGGATGTTGACCTGGTCGACTGTCAAGCACGAGTCCAAGTGAGAGCTTCAAGCCATCTGAAGTGATGAACCTGTGATTCTCACTAACTTGGGGAAGACCAGTTGCCCAACACTCAGTTTATCGTTAGGAAATCCAAAAGAATAGCTTGAGCCTTTTATCAAAAACTCATAAGGCCAAAATAACATATTACAGACTATACAAAGCAAAGACATATATATTTGCATGCAAATATAAAGGAGGCTTGGAGTCCCTTCACAAGTAACAAACTGTGTGATAAAAACATGCAGGGTACCAAGACACAAGACTCAAAAACCTGAAGAGGAAAGTTTGGAAAAGCAGAAGGAAGGTATTTAGTCCCTACGTGGGACCAGGGAGCCAGAATGCCCTTTGCTCTGAGGGCATGTGCAGTGCCTTCTTCTCCAGGCTGGAAGGTACAGAGCAGGAACGGGGGAAGCCTACCAAGCAAAGCCCAGACACCCCAAGCACAGACAACAGGTCACTGGAGCAGCAGCCTCTTCTGCAGCTGAGGAGAGCAGATACAGGACGTTACTCCAATATGCCCCAGTGCTAAGAGATACAGAAGGGAAGGGAGGGATAAGGCCATAACTTAAACAAAAGGGAAAATACTGTGTCAGAGAAGCATCCTTGATCAAGCCCAAGAAGAGAGAGAAAGAAAAAAATTCTGCATTTTCGTCTCCTGCTGTGCCTTTTACTGGCCAAACAGCACCGAGCGCCAACGTCTGACCCCTCCACTGTGCCTCTCAGGTCGGCTCCTGGTTGGTACATCTCAAAATCAGGCTCAGGTTCTCCAAACTCCAAAACTCCAGCAACGAGACAAACATGACGGCAGCAGGCACCCTTCCCACGTTGCTAGTGTTTCAGCACAAAAAGGATGGCCCTCTTTTACCCAGGGCACCACGCTCTGGCATTCAGCATGCTACGACAACACTAGCTGTGGGTTTTTGCTTGAACGCAAATTTTAACTTAAACAGCACCAAATGCTTGGTTCAAATTCTCTGGGCCAGTCACCCACAGATTAAAGGATTCGACTTTACTATGTGTTAAGCATCCCTGAGCCCTGTCACAGCAAATGCTCTTCTCCCCCAGCCAAACCCTCCATGCTCAAGTCTCACGCTGCAGACAGCCAACGTTTGCGGGAGTTAACAGCACTCATACTTGCCTCAAACGTGACAAAGTCATCAAACTCATCAGGACAGGCCGGGGCTTCCTCCTCAGGGGTATATCCCATATCATACAACTGGCTGTCAGGATCTGCAGAGGAAAATAAAAAAGAGAGAGAATCACCAGAAGGAAACGCACACCCTCAGCTGAAGGACAGCTTTGGGAGACACGACAGCAGCAGGACAAGAACTTCCTCTTGCACGCACCAGTGCCTTCGGCTTTCAGAAAGGACCTCTGCTTCCAGGCATCCCACCACCACCTCGGGTGGAAGGCAGCTGGGACGGCTGCTCCCTGGCAGAGCTCCTACAAGGCCCCTTGCTGCTCCGATGGGGCTAGCACCTGGATTCATCCCTATCCTGTCATGGTCTCCATTCCTTTTCCTGGTTTCTCCCCTATCTCCATTTCCTGCATCCTCTTATTCTTCTCCCAGAAGGCTTTAATCCTGCTGTGGGCAGGGAATACGTTAGATCTATGTGTGACAGCCAACTACCATGGGAACTGCAGAGAGAGCAGGCTGCACCGAAGCTTTTATCATCTACTGCTCCTCCCGGCCCCAGCCACATCAGGAGCCATCCTCACAGGGGGACAGGAAAATAGGAGGTTTTCAAGCAGATTTCTTTTTTTTTAAAAAAACAAGCCAAAATTAGTCCTCCCACCCCCAAATACCCATCTGCAGCAGAGCAGAGTGGCGTTTCTCCAAGCCCTTCAACCGAGGAAGGGAGCGTAAATTCCCCGTGCTCCCTCAAGCAACAGCTAATGTCTGATCCAGCACACGACCTAGATCACAGGCTGGAAACACCACATCAAGATCAGATGCTGCAGTCCAAAAATAAATGGCAGGCTCAAAACCACACGCCTTGGAGCTGCAAACGTTGCGGCACTAGGTTCGTCTGATGTCGATAAACTTGGCCGGGCAGAGGGAGTCATTATGTCAGCGGTCCTCGGAAAGCTCGGCGATCCCCCGGATTTGGGGAGGGATGGGCTTTCCTTGTATAGCTGCTCGCGGCAGCCGATGAGAGCGGAGCTACAAAGCCAGGTCTGCTTTCTGCGTCCTTCAGGCTGGTGGCTTCCCAGCTGATTCAAACAGCTCCCAGGCTCCGGTCCGAACTGAAGGGGCACGCCAGTCGCACGACGTTGTGCTGCAGCCGGCGGCACAGTCACCCAGGCGGGAGCGCACGCAGCCTCCCTCGAAGGGTATACTCCCTGTATAGTCACAGCCAGGGCTCCCGCTTCGGGTCCATCTCCAGATATCAAGAAAGGCCATTTTCATTAAGGGATCTGTACATCCAATACAAAGTCAAGAGCTTAGGGCACCGGACAGAGTAAGGACGCAGGCTTGCAGCAGCACCCCTCCTCCCACCCAAACACCCTCCTCAGCCCCTCTTTCAGCTGACCATTAAATGCAAACACAGTCAGGGCCCCGGGAGATACTGGAGCGACTGACCTGACGGGTACCAGCAGCCCATAGGGGTGAGAGAAGCTGAGAGCGCAGCGTCAAGAAACGAGCCCTCCCCTACTCTGAGCCTGGGGCTCCCAGGGGTTAGAGTGTAAATCAAAACCAGGAATAAGCCAAACTGCTTTTCCAGAAACTAGCATACGGTGCTGTGCCTCTACAGTGAGCATGCGGCGGGGTCATGGCTTCATCGGATGAAAGGTGCTCTTGTTCACCATTTCTGACTCCGATATCCTCGCTGCTCTCCCCGCTGGTGGCACCAGGCAGCGGTGCTGCTATGAGCTGCGCTTCCAGCTGGGGCTGCAACCCTGAGCAAGGCAGCGAGACGCACCTGCAAGCGCTGCTGCCCGAGCATGCTGCTCAAGGCAAGGCAGCCCCAGGCCACCTCTCACTCTAACCAACAGGTTTAGCACTGAAGTATCTCAAGACAGTGTTCCCCTCTCCTCAGACGTCACCCTGTCCCCATTGCACCTCTCCACCCGTGGGCCTAAGCCTACGACGGGAGCACCTGAGAGCGGGTCTCACCAAGAGGAGCCTCTGCCTACTGCTGGGAAAACCAAACACTGCTCCTCAAAGGCAACCCAGGTCACGTCATCAAAACAGAGTGGACAGCCAGTCATGTCTCTGGCCGAGTACAGAGCGCAGCACACGGGCAATGGCCACCTCCAGAAAGGTGACTGCGATACGAGCATCCAAAGAGCCAGATCAGCTCACCAGGACACAGGCTGCAGGCACAGGGCCCTGGTCCCATGTCCCACCCAGCATGAGCCCCAGTGACAACTCTGCTCTCCACAGCCGCCGAGCATACCCCAGCCCAGTGCAGATGCTTCATCTGCAGCACATCTGAATCCTCGAGCCGACAGTGGCAAGACTCCAGCCAAACAGCTGGGTGCTGGGCAGCTTTCAGTGCTTCCAGCTGCCTGATCTTGCACCTCTGCCAGGCACGGCCGGGTAACCCAGACAGCCTTACTGGTTGTTGGATGGAAGGCCATCTCCAGTGCTCATGGTGGCACCCCATGGCAGCCCTGGGAACCGCAGAGCACCCCAGAGGAGGCGGAGCCAGGCACAGGCTGCTCCCTTCTGCTGATTCCCATATCATTGCTTTTCCTCCCCCTCCCAGCAGCCACACAAAAGCTTCCTGCTTTTCTACAGACACAGATAAAGATATTTATTCCGCTCTTTCCTTCCAAAGGGACTTAAAGAGGGAGGATTTACAGTCAAGTGAAGGCTTTCAGTTCCCTTTGGAAGCAGGGGTATAAAGCGTGGGCAGAGAAGGCAACAAACAGCTCCTTGACATCAGCCGCCTCCTATACAGCTCTTGCCCAAACCGAGTGCTCCTGGAGCCTTCCCAGCTATTCAGGTGTTTCTCGGTGTCAGGGCGAACATGAGACTGGTTGCTCCATCTGTCTGCAGAGCGCCCAGCCCAAAAGAGGGGGTCTCTGCGCAGGCAGGGTTTATTTTTACAGCAAGCTCCACTGTAAAAAGCAAGGAAGGACCATCTGAGTTGTCACCTGCACCCTTGCTGGTGGTGTGGCCAGTAGAAGCCATGCCCAGGAGGCAGCGCTCCGTGTTTCCACCTCCCCATGCAAAGACAAACATCACCACAAACAAAGGTTGACTTTTCTGCCCGATTCATTCCCTCCCCCTCCAAAAAAGCCATATGGTGCTTTGTGTATAGGGAGAGTTGCCATGGAGAGCTTGCCTGCACGTCTCCCAGCACAATAGGCTGCATTAAGCTTTCATACTCCCGTCAAAAAGAGCCAAAAAAACCTAAGAGACCTTTGCTGCTCAGCTGACACTCCCCATGCGAAGAGCAGTACCCTCCACGTGCAGAGAGGCACTGGGGAGAGCCGGAGGGTTCTGCTCCCTGCTGTCCCCCACAGCAGCACCAACAGCCACCAGCAGTACCACTGCACAGCCCTGCTCCGGCAGCGCACAGCGAGCACGAGTGCCCAAATTCCCTCCCCCTCAGACCTCAAAGCCAAACCCCAGCAGACACCCTACCCTCCTTCACATCCCCTTCTCTGTGCCCCTCACACCATAAGGCATTCTTTCGTCTCTCACACCCATCCCTGATTTCACTCGACCTCTCTCCCTCCTCTTTGAGAGTCGATGTGGTCAGCACACTTGGAGTCACCGCTTCCCAATGCTGCTCAGAATCACAGCTCTTCACCCAGAGATGAGGAGGCGATTCAGGCCTGCTTGTTGTCCTCGCGCTGGAGTGTCTGTGACCAGCTTCTCCTGCGGTTTCAGCTCTACCTGTCACTCCCGCTGCTAGTCCTGTTACACCCCTGCAAAACCAAAAATCTCAACGCTAAACATCAGGCTCCAAGAGACCGCCCAGGAGGCAGCATTACTGCCCAACTACCTCCCCCCTAAGAGGCCGTAGGCTATATGCTAGGTCTTTTTCCCAAATTAATTGCACTAATTTGACTGGAATACGTGGGCAAGGTACCATGTATCCGGATAAAGCTTTAGTTGAACTATTGTGGCAGCACTGTTTTACCAGGGTAACGCAGCTGATGTAGAATTCACAGAAGTAGCTGTAACCAGTAAAACCAGGCACTGTATCATCCAGTGAAGCTAAGGTGAATTTGGGGGGGGGGAAGATGTAAAAAGCAAATTAAGTCTACTACAAGGCACCTGCAGTTTCCTTTTGACACCTCTTCCTATCCTTGCCTTGAAGCTTCCCGTTGCCCAGCCTGTGCTCATTCCAACCCCACCGAGACCACCACCTCCCAAGCTCATCGCACCAACCACACCACTCACTTGGGAGATGGAGATGTGCCGTCACACAAATTTTGCCGCGAGCCCAGCTCTGACCAGTCGGCCACAGCACTTTTTCTCCCCCACGTTTGATTTTCTGTGTTCCCTGGTGCTGCCCTGTTTCTTGCTGCTTATGCCTCTGCACTAAATCCTGCATCTCCCTCCATTCTTAAGATGCCCTCATTCCTCCCAGCGTTTCAAAAAGAAAAAAAAAAATCACTGTCCAAACACTGCTGTGTAAAGCTTCCGACAAGGACCATCTCTACCCAAACACATCTGCATGCTCTCCCACTGGTGGAGTATTCACTCTTGTCTTTTACGCCAACTGCAAGCCAAGGGCAACCTCTGCCCAGCGTCTGTCAAGCGTCTCCAGGCACCGTCCAGCTCCAAGGAGCAGCACTGCCCGCAGCAGACACGGCCAGCCGCACGGAGCTTTCCCCTGGACGTCTGGCACACGTGCAGCTCGCAGGCGAGCAGGACAGGTCACGCGCTCTTTGTGCAGGTAAATGCATGCTGAGCTCCAGCAGCAGCCAGAGATGCACCCTTCGCCATCCCATTGTGCTGAGAGAAGCAGCGCCGGGCTTCATAAAGGGCTCAGATGTGCAGTAGTAACCTGGGCTTGTCAAGAAACGCAACAGACCGTAGAGCTACAGGAACAGAAGTCACAGAATCACAGAATAGTAGGGGCTGGAAGGGACCTCTGTGGGTCATCTAGTCCAACCCCCCCGCCGAAGCAGGGTCACCTACAGCAGGCTGCACAGGACCTTGTCCAGGCGGGTCTTGAATATCTCCAGAGAAGGAGACTCCACAACCTCCCTGGGCAGCCTGTTCCAGTGCTCCGTCACCCTCAGAGAGAAGAAGTTCCTCCTCA